CTATTGTGAAAAGTCAGAATGTGTCCAAAAAGGCACGTATGGCAATTCACAATGCTGTGTTAGTACCTACTTTAATGTATGGTAGTGAAAGTTGGGTGTGGCAGAAGAAGCATGAGAGTAGAATAAATGCTGTAGAAATGCGGTCATTAAGGAGTATGTTAGGGATGAAGCTGAATGACAGAGTGAGAAATTGTTTAATAAGAGAAGAGTGTGGTTTGCAAGATGATGTTGTGACCAGGATTAAGAAAGGAATGCTTCGGTGGTTTGGCCATGTAGAAAGAATGAATGAGGAAAGAGTGACAAAGCAAATTTATGTTGCAGAGGTGAACGGCATAGTCGGGAAGGGTCGCCCTAGGCGAAAGTTTATCGACCAAATTGGCGATATATTAAAAATGGGCCAAATCAAGAGTACCTTTAACCGACGAGCGTGTATGCGTAGGTATATGGATGTGGAGGAAGCGAGAGAGGTGTGTCAGGATCGTGCCAAATGGAAGTCCATAATCTCTGCCTACCCCTCTGGGTGACAGGCGTGAGTGTTTATGTATGTATGTATGTATCTAGATAACGTCTCTTGGACAAAAGTGCCAAGGCATTAATTTTTTAATAAAAATCGTGCTTTTTATTGAGTTTTTATTGGTTATCATGATTAGTGTGAAACCACGCGATACATATACATATATGTGTGTATATCTAGATAACGTATCTTGGACAAAAGTACTAAGGTAGTAATTTTGTAATAAAAATCGTGCTTTTTATTGAGTTTTTATTGGTTATCGTGATTAGTGTGAAACCACTCGATACATATTGTTACGGCCTACGGCTGCTCCCTTAAAGGATCAGATCCTCAGGGGCCCATGAGCTGAAGACTTCCCGAGCAGACGTAGGTCGAGCCTCAATGTGGCCACGTGGAATCTCTCGAATTACACTAAAATATATGGGGGAGCGTTCTATACTACGGCCAGTCGACCGGCAGAGGAATTAGGCGGAGTTTACTTACCTATATCCAAGGCGACTGGTCCCTCCGGAGTCGGTCAGGTCACATGTGGTTGTGTAGTGAAAGGGAAATAAGTGATGTGATGTGTATCTGGGTGTGACTGATGGTGATTGAACCTAGACCTTGGCCGTCGGCAGCAGCCCGAGCGTCGACACCGCTCCAACTTGAGGGGGCTTCCGAGGTTGTCCACAGTCACTTTCCTCGTTCTTCACGATGACAGTCAATTAACTCTATCGTACGATTTACTAACTTACAGAAGCCACTAACTATCGCGGGTTATAAGGTTAACGCACAAACGCACACGGAGTTTACAGTTTATTAAAGGTCACTACCGTTTCGCGTCGCAACAGTTAGTTCTAGAATACAGAGGCCGCACTAGCTAATATTGTCGAATGCACTTATACAGATTCTGAGTCGGACCCAATAAGTCCCGGGGAAGCTCTCCAGTAGGGATACGCGCCACAAAATTCCTAGACCGTATTTTTACTGTCCGCGCTTAATTATTCCGAGTTCCCGCGCTTAATTGGCAGCGTGCCAATCGTGAGCACTGCCTGAGGACGACTGACTTTTCACTCGCGACCCGCGCGTTTGAAGTGCTCGGAAGAACTTCAAACCGGTATCGCCCAGAGCCGCGCGCCCCCTAGACCTCGATTCCGACAACAGCGTTTTGCGCGAACACATATACATATATGTGTATATATCTAGATAACGTCTCTTGGACAAAAGTGCCAAGGCAGTAAATTTTTAATAAAAATCGCGCTTTTTTATTGAGTTTTTAATGATTTTTTTTTATAGGATGGGGTGACAAACGAGCACACAGTGCACCTGATTTTATATTTTTGCTATAACCCATATAAATCTACATCTATCCTCAATAAAAAATCAAAATGCAGGTGCGTTGTCACCCGTGAGGGCCAAGATGGAATACCTCTTTTCCAGTAAAAAAGGTCTCCGGTTCTCTACACTCACCATACGAAACACAGCAGTGTTAAGCTGCTATTTTACGCTGGTATTCTGTGAGAGCGTGGTCCTTCCTCGGCCGAGCCGACCCATTCGTGATACAACTATATTACCAATATAGCTGCAGCATGGCTTATACCACGTATAAGATTGATTATCTTGATTGAGTTGTTAATAGTGTGAAACTACTCGATGCCTATATTACTACAGCTAAAAAATTTCGTTGGCAAATAGTGTAGCAAGATTTACCTACGTGATGTAATTTTTAGAATATAAATTACATACATAAAATTTACATTAAGTTGAATATATTCAACAAAGTGTTTTTCTAATTCAACGATCAACTACTGAATTCTTGTAAAGGCAGCTGTGCTATGTGGTTTTGTTCAGTGGCCTTAAAAGGCTGTTGATGTTTGCATGATTGCACAAAACGTTAAGTGCTACATATTTTATCAAGTTATATATTTGCTCGTAAAATTATCTATGTTATGGAATTGCTTCATAGTCCATCCGTCTGTCTGTCACAGAAGTTGTTTTAAATCTAAAATACATACACTCAGAGAGAGAGAGAGAGAGAGAGGGAGAGAGAGATTATGGATGACCCAATTACCAACATACAGTATGATTATAAGGTACACATAGTTGCAATACCATCTTTCCTTTTTTAATTAAAATTTAGATTAAAAAATTCGAGTGCATCTTGTAATGTCAAATGGCGTCAAATAAATTCTCAGTAAATCTTGGATTTCAATTATATAAAAATACTCGCAATCCGACCCGGATTCGCACGGGTGATTTATGGATCTCGATAACAGCGCCACCTACCGGGTCCAAATGGGAAACAATAAATTCATCAAAATCGGTCGAGCCGTTTTTGAGTTTTAGCGAGACTAACGGATAGTAATTGATTTTTATAATAGAGCTAGAGATAGAGATAAACTAGCGATCCACCGCGGCTTCGCATAGGTGATATTGCGACAGCAGCGCCACCTGCCGGGTCCAAACACAAAACAAATCATCAAAATTGGTCACGTCGTTTTGGAGTTTTACTGAGAGTAACGGACAGCAACTGATTTTCATATATAGAGATTTTCATAGTTCCATTTAAAAGTACAGTGATCGATATTAATTTATATTTCGAGATGTAATATAAATTATATTATATCACATAGTGAAAAGCGAGCTTAATATACATATATTATATGTACATATAAACTTTCCTCTTGAATCATTCTAAAATCCTTTGCGTGGTTTAAAAGATCTAAGCGTACAGACAGTGTGAAGCGATTTTGTTTTATACTATGTAAAGATGTCAAAAAGTAATTGCCATGCATACATGTTAAATTTGTAATTATAAGGAATATTATTTATTATACATTTGCATTGAATGTGAGTTTGCAGACGTGTCCTTAAAATTGATTTTTTTAATTTCTAACATATGTATAAAGGGAACCGCCCCCCTCCAAAACCGCCCGCAAAAATATTTACCCCTGTATCGTGGAGGCCATCGTTACGGATCTTTGACACTGTTTTTTGTCGTTCCCCAAACCTACTACTGCAAGTTTTCTAATTTGTTCAATATTTGTTAAAAACACCTTATACATACCTAAAAACTTCAAATGATGTGAATATTGCAAAAAAAAAAAAACTAAGAATTTAATCGCCTCTAATTCGATTATATACCTGCTTGCATTTATTAAAATAACATGAAATATGTACATTAAAATATATTATGGTGATTCCAACCCCCAAATCTTTTCATTTGTTACATCCGACGCGTAAGGTTCGACTGAAATGTACACGCTCAAAATTATCGACTGACATTTTATCGATAATGTACTTAATCCGACGATAATTCTAACGTTGATTTTAAACAAAGTCGAATTAACCAAATTCATTATTTCGTTTTTCCCTATTAACCTCGTAAAAAGATGAAGACTACATTTGAAAACTGCGACAAGTTACTTATAAGAATTATATTAATTTACGCAAGGCGTGATATAATAATTAATATATTCAATTAGTTTCTGAGAAAATTAAGGTGAGTGTCATGAAAAATGACCAAATGAGAAGTCTTGTGAGGTACCATTATAAGATTTACATTTAATTAAATGAAAGTAGTAGATATATACCTCAATTAGGTGCCATTTGATGGCAGCGTAAGTGTATCCATGGCCCTATCTCATCCCGTGGGAGTCATTAGAGATCTGTGATTTACAATAGATAAAGGAATATTTGTAACAATCTCGTACTTATAACACATACAACATCCTATGCCCTAAGGCGTCTATGTCCTAATAATAGGGAGCTTAACTTTTTGAAACCAAAAAATACAATTTTTTTAGTATTCGCAAAATAGCCAAATGGCAAGTAGAATTGTACGACCGATTTCGGGCATGACTATATTATTGATAATATAATTATATCTAAAAGAGATACATAAGTTACGAATTAATGGTTGCTTTGCGATGAAAATTATTATTTGGTGCTTTTTAGTGTTCTACAGTCGTAAATTATCGATATGTTTAGTAGTGACTAAGCAGTGACACATCACTACATAAGCTTACAGACGCAGTGACGTCTGGGTTGGCAGTGGCGCGTCGCAGGCAGATACTGCTGCACGTTAATTGTGTTTAAAACGCGTTATTCTAAGGTTATAAGTACACTACGATTCATTTATTAGAATACTGGATCGATCACTTAAAGTCGCTATGAAAATAAATTAATCAATTGCAATATGCAGTAATATCGTGCATGTATGTTAAATTATATATGATATTAGACTGAGTGCCAATGCATATACGTCGATAGAATAACAACGCGTGGAATACCGGTTCATTCTGATACCGGTGTCAACAATGTAGCCATAGTGACGTTACTGTTGACAAGTTGACAGTGAATTATTTAAAGCAATTTTTGTGAGATACGATTATGTTTAAGGTGTTTAAATTATATAAAATTTAATGTTTGCATGTATAAATTATTTTTGATAGGAATGTATTAGTGTTCGTTTTGTGATACCTAAGAATACGTATTGCCAGCCAGAATGGGAAACGGAATGAATAAGGTATTTAAGTTTTTTCAAAACTTTTTTATCTTACATTGTGATAAATATCTCGCTAGCACATTGTAGTTACGTAACGGTGCCGTAGCCGTTCGTAGCTCGTAGCGTCCGTAGAACAAGGCATTCGGCGTAAGGCTGTTGTTAATATTTATTTTACATTAATATATTTCTTTATTCATTCTCAGTTTTAAATATATTATTTTAACGCCTTATTGGATTAATTTAAACGGGTAAGTATTCAGAAAAATAAGTTCATGGAGTAAATTGCATTTGCAGTTTTATATATTTTTGAACCGAAGTGCAAATTTCTATAAACAAGTTTCTACAAATATAAAAATTAACGTTTCATTATATCTGTTGTAGTAAAAATTGTTTTATTATTTAGATTTAATACTAGCTATCCGCCCTGGCTGGGAAAAAAAATCAACCGTGAGACGGTTGATTTTTTTTTATAAGATAGGGTGACAAACGAGCGCACAGTCCACCTGATGGTAAGTGGTTGCTGTGACCCATAGACATCCACATCTATCCTCAATAAAGAATCAAAATGCATATGCGTTGTCACCCGGGAGGACTAACATGGAATGCCTCTTTTTGTTTTTTTATTCAGTTTTTAATGATTTTTTTTATAGGATAGGGTGACAAACGAGCACACAGTGCACCTGATTTTAAAATTTTGCTATAACCCATATAAATCTACATCTATCCTCAATAAAGAATCAAAATGCAGGTGCGTTGTCACCCGTGAGGGCCAAGATGGAATACCTCTTTTCCAGTAAAAAAGGTCTCCGGTTCTCTACACTCACCATACGAAACATAGCAGCGTTAAGCTGCTATTTTACGCTGCTATTCTGTGAGAGCGTGGTCCTTCCCCGGTCGAGCCGTCCCATTCGTGCTACAACTATACTACTAATATAGTTGCAGCATGGCTCTACCACGTAAATTTTCTTGATTGATTTCTGGATCTCGACAACAGCGCCACCTACCGCGTCTAATTAGTCTAAACCATCTATCTATCATCAAAATGGGTCGAGCTGTTTTTGTGTTTTAGCGAGACTAACGGACAGCAGTTGTTTTTTATATATAGAGAAGATTACTGAATCTATGTATAATGTGCCTATGTATTGTATGTATGATCTATATATAAGGCGTTTTATCTACTTTATATAAATTGTGAGAATAAAATTTATAAAAAGACTACATGAATTGGACGTGGGGGCTTACGTGGTCTGTTATTAATCCCTCATGGCAATCATGTGTGCAGTTTTGAGAGCCACGAGCGTGACCTGCCTTTATATATGAGTTTATTAGAGAACGATTATTTTACAATTATAACATAATTATAAAAACATAAATACAAGATGTTAATATAAAACTACATTGATATAGTTTTTACGTGGTAGAGACATGCTGCAGCTATATTATGGTTGTAGCACGAATGGGTCAGCTCGACCAGGGTAGGACCACGGTATCACAGAATACCAGAGTAAAATAGCGACTTAATGCTGCTGTGTTTCGTATGGTGCTTGTAGAGAACCGGACACCCTATTGACTGGAAACGAAAGTTTCCATCTTAGTTCTCAGGGATGACAACGCATCTGCATTCTTAATCGAGGATAAATGTAGATGTCTATTCACTCGCATCCACTTACTATCATGTGGACTATGTGCTCATTTATCACCCTATCCTATAATAATTAAAAATTAAAAATTTTGTACAGCCGACTTTAATATAAGTTATTAAGAATAACTCAAAAACTATTGGTTTGACCTTGATCAAATTATACATATGGGACCACACGAGAAGTACCAGCTTTCAAATTAAAAAAAAAACATCGAAATCGGTTCACCCAGTAAAAAGTTATGAGGTAACACACATAAAAACAACATAGTCGAATTGAGTACCGACTCCTTTTTGGAAGTCGGCAGAAAAAAGTAAGAGCAAAACTTTCATTGAACTATTTAGGTTGGTATTCTGTGAGAGCGTGGTCCTTCCCCGGTCGAGCCGACCCATTCGTGCTACAACTATACTATTAATATAGCTGCAGCATGGCTCTAACACGTATAAGGTATCTAGGTAAGTAATTACTCAAAAAATTATTAAAACCGATTATAAAAATAATAATGTACTATCTGTAATAATTAAACAAAAAATACTAAAAATCGACAGCAAAAAACTAAAAAGAATAAAATAATTTTCACTTATATTCAATAGCTTTTATTAATTATAAAAGAAAAGAAAAATAATAACAATTTGTAGTGTTTTGATATCGCACTTTCCATTTTAAACAAAGGAAAGTGCGATATCAAATAATTGATGGTATTTTTTCAGTCTATTCATCATTGTTAAATAATAATTGAAGCTAAACCTTCAATTATTAATTAACACTTGAGTAGACTGAAACAATACCACAAGCTTAAGGCGAAATCTGTAACGTCTATGTAGTTAAACTATCTGAGCCCGCGACTATGTTCGCGTGGAATTAATACTGTTGTTATGACTAGTGATCAGCCACTGGTCGAAATTCGACCGTAATTCATTTTGCATAAAAAAGGAGTATTTCATTATTATATAATTATATTATATTTCATTATTATTCTATACGTATAAATAAAAGTGTCTGTCTCTATTATCGTAATAACTGGCTTCTATTAAGCGAAGGAGTTATTTTTATGCTATAAAGACATGAATAAGTATTTTTTAAATTTTTGTCTGTTTGCCTATCAGACTGTCTGTCCGAGATAATCTTCGGAATGTCTTAGTCGAAGTGTGATGAAACTTAACAACGAGATAGTGAAAACCAGAAATGAGTGTTAAAGTGTAAGGTATTATAAGACCTTTTATAGATCTTAAATTTTTATTTCAAACATTTAACCATATTATGCCATGTAGTTTTCAAGATAATCGCAAAACAAAAATAGTTTAAAGCGTTTTTTTTTATTATTGAACTACTTGCTCAAAAACAACTATTATAGATCTGGAGTGTTTTATTCGTGTGCATAGTACTCAGACGAAGTCGCACTTAAAAGTAAGCCCAAAATAATTGTAAAATAATTTCAAGAACAGGAACCATTTAATAATTTTTGTAAAATAAAATGTTTCGTTCAAACTGTTACGCCCTACTTCACCCTCTAAGGGTTTGAATTTTCCAAAACTCTTTCTTAATGGATGTCTACGTATTAAGAAGGAAGCTATTGTTCCAATTTTACGCTTCAAGTCCATCGGTTTAGGCTGCGCGTCTTAATACAATATTTTAATTCAATATTTGCACCCTCGTTTTAAAACCTTAAGATAGGTAGATTTTTGAAAATATAAAATTATAATACTATTATTATAACTTAAGAATATTTGCATTAGATTTCAAATTAAAAGAAAGACATTAATTATTTTTTCTCCATCCAAATTTGAACAACCTTTAGTCCATACCGTAAGACGTTGTTTTGAAAATTTGCAAAACAAGTACTCATTTATTTTATTTACAGAGTACTTTAAGTTAGTTTCGAGTAAATCCTCCACTAAAATAGAAAAGTTTCATACAAATTATAACATCCTGTTTTACTCTCCTTAGAGTTGAATTTTCTAAAATCCATTCTTAGTGGATGTCACGTCATAAAAGGAAGCTAATGTTCAAATTTCAGGTTTCTACATAGAGCGGTTTGGGCTGTGCGTTGTTAGATAAGTTGACATCCCCAAATGAAAAAAAAATCTTGAAATTTAAGTAGTAGTACCCTTGAGCTTGAGGTATAGTCTCACAACACCCATAGGACTATACAGGTTGATATATATACTCTAATGCCACTATCACACGGCAATTTGGTGAAATGTTTGCCACTATTTGTACGAACACTTTCTGTTTATTAAACATCTTGACGTGAAAATGCAAAGAAAATATTATCAGTTATTGTAACATTGAAACTAGTAGTGCTGCTAATGTTTATTAAGTTAAATCTGTATAGTTCAAATACGTGAAAGTGGGTCAAAGTTATCTTGTTCTGTTTCAACCTAATCGACGTTGTTCGTTAAGTAACAAACAAGGGGTGGTTCATCTTTAACTAGTTATCCGAATAAAACCAAAAGAAGAGGTGGTAATATCCTGTAAAGTGCAGAGTTATATTGGACGTGCAATCTTTTAACACAAACTATGAATTTCGATGGCTTTATATCTACCATATTATCAATATTAATCGGTTTTCTACAAAAATACCATAATTTAATTCCTTGACAAGTTTTTTTTTCGCATTTTTCAAGCATACTATGACTAACGTAAGTATATTCGTTACATACAAAATTTTACGACAATAGTCGCCACAGGTCAGGATTGTTGGATCCACTTTTTTACGATGTTCTATTCTGCTAAACGATTTTCATCGCGAGTCGAAAACTATACTCCACACAGGGATAAAGTGCCATAAGGTACGCGCTTACATACAGGCATTAACTCACCCTAAGTATCTTAACCTACGTTTTCTTTATTTCCCATAGTAACGTTTACGGTTACGGACGGTCGGAATGCACTTTCAGAGGCACAGGTAAAAACAGATTAGACGAGCCAACCATTTGCATAATTAAAGGCTATAGGTGCAGGTGTCCATAGACTGCAACAGCCACTTATCATGAGGTGAACTTTAAGTTCGTTTGTCACTTCAGTTTAATAAAGAAAAATTGCATACAATTTTAAAACCAATTTTTAATATTGACTTAACATGTGCTTTGTGATAAAAAGAAACATTGTAGAATAATGTATGGTACATTATGTCCTTCTAGCGGTGACGACGTAAGCGAAACCTTCCATCACCGTGATAGAAATTCGCTGCAGCTATATTATGGCTATGGTTCGGTCCGATGCGATGGAAGAACAACGCTCGTACGGAATACCAGCGTGAAATAGCATCTGCATTTTGATTTTTAATCGAGGACAGATATGGGTGTTTATGGGTCACAGTATCCACATACTATCTGGTGAACTGTGTACTCGCTTTTTTATAGGGTAGGGTGACAAAGG